CAAATAAAAACTGTTGTCCATTTATGTCAAATATAGCAACTACTTTTTTCATCTGTCATTTCTCCAACTAGTTTACTAACAGTTTTTGTCATGAAAACAACCAAATCGAGTGGTAATGGCAAGGGGATGTTGTTTCTTATTGAGAATTATTCTTATTTGCACAAACAGTAGATCAAGATGCTTGCAACAATAAGGTCATGGTTCGATTCATAGGAAATGCATGAACTGATTTCCAAATTTCACTTTGGATACAAGCATTTGCAAAATATAAAGTGTTTTATTTCAGGTAGTTGCCAATGCAGCATTTCTAATAAAAGCTAAATTACTAATATTTAATTTAAAAAAAGATTAAAAATATATATATATATTTTATTTATTATTTTATTTCATTATTACATTATTTGTTTAATAATACATTGTTTTATTTAATGTATTTCTAATTAAATCAAACAATTAAATTTATTATTAAATAACAATAGTTTTTCAAATATATTTATTATTTTTTATTATTATTATTATTACATTATTTATTAATAATAATAAAACAAAACAATAAATTGTTTTTGTAAATTTTATATATAAATTTGTTGTTAAAATAACACTGTTCTGAACAGTAATAATCAAACAGAATTGCCAAAATTACTATGACTATAAATTACATTTCCATAAAATAAGTTGCACTGGGTCAAAATTGCATTGTTGGGAGAGGAAAAAAACTGATTTTCATCAGCATATAAGTCATGTTTTACTATTAAATTCAGAAATAATGTAAAATACCAATAAATAAAACATTATAAACACTATAACGATGTATTTTAGCTCCCTAAAGTCACAACAAATTCCAAATCTGTGGCTTTGAACATGTTTTGCATACTTGATGTTAACTGCATTATAAAAGACGCTTTCAAATATGTGTCACAGCACGTTTCAGATGATAAAAAACACAATTATACTCTGGAAAATCTGGTACTGTATTATAAAGTGCCTCTGCAGAAACCTCAGCTGTAATCATACGTCTGTTCTTCTGCTCATTTCTTCCTTCAGATCTCAAGAAAACACACTTACTGCGAGTGTGTGGTCTCACTGCTCAATTAAACACGGACACGGACAGAGAGTTTCATTACAGACGGACACAGACACTCAGGAATCACTGACTCGAGAGCCTCACATCTGACAGACAAAGATACCAGGACGGGTCTGAACTCACACGACTCCGGCTCTACTTCTGACCACACAACGCTTCAGACGGGAATCAGAAAGAGAAGAAATACATGCTAAAACTTCTGTGAAATCTTCATGCCAGAATCTGAACCATAAACTACACGTGGAACAACTGTCTCACAAGTTCGATCCACACTGTAGCGTATTCTGGACAAGAAATGGACACTAAAAAGAGCTGATGAAGCCAACAATGACATTTAGAGGAGAGTAAATCTGAAAAATCAAAAATGCTGAGGAAAAAAAATAAAAAAACTTGAAATATGCAATATGAAAATCACAAATCCAGCAAGTAGTTCTTACATTTTGCCAGGTTGTGTACTAGGCCTAAAATAAAATAAAATAATAAAATAAAATAAAATGGAATAAAATAAAATAAAATAAAATAGAATAGAATAAAATAGAATTGAATAAAAAAATTGAATGAAATAAATTAAAATGAAATGAAATAGAATAGAATAACATAAAATAGACTAAAATGATATAGAATAG